GGATGGAGCAAGTAATGAGCTTGGAATTGCTGGTTCTGTGGGAGACACCTCTGCAGCACTCCCGGCAGCTCTGCAGCCACCCTTCAGTGCAAGTGGAGCCAGCCGCAGGGATCTCCCCTGTCCTCACCCTCCTCTGACCCAGAGAGGAGGATCCTCACCTCCTTACCCATCCTCTCCGGAGAGCAAACCCCAGGAGAGCACATCCCCGGGATCCCCCAGCGAACAGGGCTCGGTGCCGGGCACTTGCCCTCAGTGACACCGGTCTCCTTCCCCACCTGCTCCCCAGCACCGAGAACCCACCGGGGCTGAGCGCTGCAGACAAAAGCTCGTTTATCAGGACCCGCCGCAGCCTCTCCCGGCGCTGGTTTGCTTTAATTGGCCCCATCAAAGCCGGCTGCGCCTCTCCCTGTGGAAAAGGTTGCGGAACATGATTAATTCAGGCGCAGAAAGCGGCTGCCTCCCGCAGAGAGCGGCCCCTCTGATAAGGGCAAAGCTGCTTCCTCTTCCACGCGGCGAGGTGGGGGGCTCCTTCCTCCCGGGGCACAGCTGCAGATGGGCTCAGGAGCTGGAGGGGACAGGCAGGAGCAGGGTGTCTCACCCTCCATCCCACCCCCATGAGCACAAATCCTGTTCGCTCCCATCACGTGGAGCCTATCCATGGATTGGCAGGTGGGACCATCCACCAAAAGCCCCAGGAGGGGTGTACCCAGGATGGCACCGGACCCAGGCTCAAAACCAGCTCTGGTGAACGCGGGGGCACACACATGAGCCTCGGGGAGACGCAGGGGGACCCCCCAGCTGCCCCCAGCACCCACTTTCTATGGCTGGTCCTCCCCGCTCCCACCCCCCCAGTTGCACAGGGCGTAACTCGGCTTTATCAGCTGCATGTGCACAGGGCTCGGCTTTATCAGCTGCATGTGGAGGCAGAGGGGGGTCGAAAGCAAAGAGCCTTTGGGGAAACGAGACGGGGGGATCCCTTCCCCCTTTTTATAGATGCCAGTGTGACACGCAGCGTGCCGA